GGAATCGATCCCATTTACAATTGCACCAAAAACCATACAATACCTAAGATAAACCTAACAAAAGAGTGAAAAATCTGTCTACTTAAAACTATAGAAAGCTTATTGAAAGAAATTGAAGACACAAAAAAATGGAAAAATATTCCATGCTCATGGACTGGAAGAATATTGTTAAAATGTCAACACTACCCAAAGCAATCTATATACTCAATGCAATCCCTATCAAAATAACACCAATATTCTTCACAGAGCTAGAACAAACAATCCTAAAACTTGTATGGAACCAGAAAAGGCCCAAATAGCTAAAGCAATGTTGAAAAACAAAACCAAAGCTGGAGGCACCACAATTCTGGTCTTCAAGTTGTATTACACAGCTGTAATCAATCATCAAGACAGTATGGTACTGACACAAAAACAGACACATAGATCAAATGGAACAGAATAGAGAACCCAGAAATAGACCCACAAATGTACGGCCAACTAATCTTGACAGAGCAAAAAATGATATGAATAGAATAAAGGCAGTCTCCAACAAATGCTGTTGGGAAAAGTGGACAGTGTCATGCAGAAAAAAATGAACCTGGACCACGTTCTTACACCATACACAAAAATAAAAGCAAAATAGGTGAAAGACTCAAACGCAAGACAGGAAGCCATCAAAATCCTTGAGGATAAAGCAGGCAAAAACCTCTTTGACCTCGGCCACAGCAACTTCTTACTCAACACCTCTCTGGAGGCAAGGGAAACAAAAGCAAAAATGAACTAGGGGGACCTCATCAAGATAAAATCTTCTGCATGGGGAAGGAAACAATCAGCAAAACTAAAAGGCAACTGATGGAATGGGAGAAGATATTTGCAAAATGACCTACCAGAAAAAGGGTTAGTATCCAAAATGTATAAAGAACTTTTCAAACTCAACACCCAAAAAACAAATAATCCAGTGAAGAAATGGACAAAATACATTAATAGACTCTTTTCCAAAGAAGACATCCAGATAGCTAACAGACACATGAAAAAATGCTCAACATCACTCATCATCAGGGAAATTCAAACCGAAACCACAATGAGATTTCACCTTACACCTGTCAGAATGGCTAACATTAACAACTCAGGTAACTCAGTGCACTTTTGCACTGCTGGTGGGAATGCAAACTGGTGCAGCCACTCTGGAAAACAGTATGGAGATTCCTCAAAAAATTAAAAATAGAAACTACCGTGCGACCCAGAAATTGCATTACTAGGTATTTACCCCAGGGATAAGGATGTGCTATTTTGAAGGGGCACACTCACCCCAATGTTTATAGCTGCATTATCAACAATAGCCAAAGTATGGATAGAGCCCGCCCACACACACACACACACACACACACACACACACACACACACACACACACACACACACACACACACACACACACACACACACACACACACACACTACGGAATATTACTCGGCAAAGAAAAAGAACGAAATCTTGCATTTGCAACAACGTGGATGGAGCCAGATACTAGAGGGTATCATGCAAGCAAAATTAGTCAAAGAAAGACAAATATTGATGAAAGACAAAACAGATGAACATAAGGGAAGGAAAGCAAAAATATAAAAACAGGGAGAGGACAAAACATAATAGACTCTTAAATATAGAGAACTGAGGATTGCTGGAAGGAGTGTGGGTAAGGGGATGGGCTAAATGGGTAAGGGGCATTAAGGAAGACACTTGTTGGGATAAGCACTGGGTGTTATACATAGAGGATGAATCACTGGATTCTACTCCTGAATTCATTATTGCTCTATATGCTATCTAACTTGCATGTAAATTAAGAAAAAAAAAGAAAGAAAGAACATATGCCAAGACAGATCATATCCTAGGTCCTAAGACACCCTTCAACAAATTTAAAAGAACAGAATCATAGAGTATGTTCACTGCCCACAGTGGAATCCAAATACAAAACAAAAACCGAAAACAGGAAAATCTCCAAACACTTGGAAATTGAACAACATACCTTCCAAATAATCCACAGGAAGAAGACAAAGACTCAAGGGAAATACACAGGCTGAAAGAAAATGAAAATACAACATGTCATTATCTGCGGGGTTCAACTAAAGCAGTACTGAGAGGGAAACTGATAGTACTCAATGTTTATAACTAGAAAAGAAGGAAAATATCCAAGAAAAATCTAAACTGCAGTAAGAAATCAGAAGAGAAAAAAACCACAAATGAAGCAGAGGAAATAATAAAGACAAGAGCAAAAGTAAGTAAAATTGAACCAAGGAAAACAGTAGAGAAAATAAAACAAAGAGGCAGTTCACTGAAAAAGTCAATAAAGTTCATGACTCACTAGTAAAACTACCAAAGAATATAAGAGAAAACACAAATTCCTCCTAACAAATTAAACAGGGAATATTACTCCAGAACCTGGAGACATCAACAGGGTAGTAAGGGATTAATACAAAACTCTACATACAAATACTTGAAACTTTAGGTGAAATGGACCAATTCCTCTAAAGGTACACCTTACCACAAATCACCCATGTGAAACAAATGATAGGAATGACTTGAATTGCAGAGTAAGTTTGTAATCTTAAAATTGCCTCCCCAAAATACACCTACAGGCACATACAGTGAATGTTGAGAGTTTAGCTAATACTGGTGCCTCAGCATCCATTCTGTGTGGCCAGGTGGTCTGTAGGGACCTTGAACTGATACTAGCCATTCCCTTGAGCACATACCCTAGTAAGAGCCCATGCAGTCAGAAGCAAATGTCAAGATAGGACTCTCCCAATCATCCCTATGATAAGCATTCTCCCCCATCTCCCAGGATCTTCCCCTTGTCCCCTTTAGATAAGACCCCCCCCCACACACACACACACCTCCAAAAGCTTACCAAAACCCTGCTCTGTTTGGTTTGAATTGACCATTGCAGCCTTAGCCTAGAACCTTAAAGCATTCCATTGAGGGGCCCTAATAAAGCCATGTGCCCTTGGTCCTGCCCTAAGAGTTCTGCCTATACCCTGCCTTAATCTCCTCACACAACCCACATAGGTGTGCAGAATAGCTCCCCCATGATCTGTGACTAATAAACTTCTCTACTTCACTTTCTCTTACAATCTCTTGTTGAACCATGGCTCACCATCTGACATCTAGGACTCTACTTAACAAATATTAGTACAACAAAGTCACAACACCAATACTAGACAATTCTATCAAACCTACAAAGAATTAACAGGAATTCTACACAATTTCTCTCAGAAAGTAGAAGAGTGAAAACTTTACCC